CCCTAATGAAAGATTGTCAAAGAACTATGCTGTGGGTATATTTACACTCTTTAATGTGAAAAGCTTTTTTAAGTTTATAAATTGGATTCAGAAATAAATAGTTTTGTGAACTTTCATGTGAAATGTGATAGTATATTGTTTTTTTACCTGCTTCATCTTGGTCAGTTCCCTGCGTGTGTGTTCATCATTGCGCAGGTCTTTTTTGTTTCCCACAAGGATGATTGGAACGTTTGGACAAAAATGTTTGACCTCAGGCGTCCACTTCTCCGGAATATTCTCTACACAGAGGTCAGAAATCAAAGGTCAGTTCCAGACTTTTAACACAGGCTAGAGGTCAGTTTCATTCAAGAATTGGAAATAAAATATAGTTTTTAGATCCAAATATAGCATAAAATGACACACCAAAGAGCATTCTTACCTAAACTGTCAGGACTGTCAATAGAGAAACACATAAGAATGACATCGGTGTCTGGGTATGAAAGAGGACGAAGCCTGTCGTAGTCCTCCTGCCCTGCAGTATCCCACAGAGCGAGTTCCACCTATGGGATAAAAAGACACACTGAGCTCAGACACACATTTAGAAAAGTCCAAACCATTAAAATGGACTTCAAAAAGGACACAGGAGGGAGCCAAATTAAGCTAAAAAAGGAAAGTGAATCAGGTCAATATTTTCACATTAAAGCACCGTCCAAGATCTCCTGACAAGCAAAGACTTAATTAGTCTAATAAACTAGGTTTCGGGGTTTAACACTGAACACATAGTTTTTCTATTCTACTTTGACCTTAATCGTCATCCCATCCCAAAAATTCAGGCATAATATTACATGCATGCACAGTTGTGTGCCTTTTTCTCACCTGTTTGCTGTCAACTTCAATGTCGGCAACATAGTTTTCAAACACTGTTGGTACGTAGACTTCAGGAAACTGGTCTTTACTGAACACAATAAGCAAACATGTTTTCCCGCATGCTCCATCTCCTACAATCACCAGCTTCTTGCGAATTGCTGCCATATCTGCAAAAGACACACATATAGACAGTTAAATACTGCAGTATTACATTCCTGTTCATCTTTTCAGCAACTGGGATGATTAGTGAGACTATAAATATGGGATCCTCAATTATTTATTGTCATATCCTGCTGAATACATCTTCTAATATGAACAGTGTCACCCATAGCAATCCCCTACCAACATAAAGTCCAGTGGAAAACACACCAACTCATCCCTCAGGCCAAGTAACAAAGTTTAGAGACTTCACAGTCCTCAGTTGACCCATCATCATAGCCAACGGAGACATCGAACAAGACCTCACTAGAGTCTTTTCAACATGACCACAGCAGAAGTGGCCCATCCGATCTCAACAACACGGCACGCAACTTCAATTTCTGATCCAGAACAGCCGTTTAAATAGAGGCAGATCTGGAAGTGTCTGTTAACTGGGCCAGATGTCTTTGAAGTACAAGCTGCACCCCAGTGGCCAAGATAAAGCAGGCAGCTACAGAACAGAGACCACATTATTGATGAACAGGCCCGTGGCGATGAGAGCCGCTCAGATGGACAGTAGATTAAACACTGACACACACACAGAGCAGCAAAGCTGAAGATCAAAGTCTGAAAACCAGCAGAGAAGACAAAGCTTTGGCACTAAAGATCAAGTATTGGTTTCTATCTTCTATGCAGACCACTATAGAGATTTTTAAGGAAAAATGACATGCATGCTGGTTGAGTGCCTGGATTACAGGCAAAGAGGGTCAACCCCTGAAGTTAAAACTGATCAGCATCTCCTCCAATGAATTTTTTACTTATATCCTTATGGTCAAACTTCAGTGGGTTGCATGTGGCCACATGACTCCTGGGACCTCTTGACAACTGCATGGCAACAGTAAGGTTAGTGAATTATTCAAACTGATACAAATGAGTCTGGATGGCACCTGTTGGCTCAATAAATTAATATTCATAAGACTGAACAAGTATCTTTTGGTAATAACCCTGTAATATCACTCAATGCACAATCATTTGAATCTAAGATTAAAACCAGAATTTCCTCTGCTTGTGCTGTCGTGTACACGCTAATGGAAATTTGAAAGAACTGAATGGCATTACAGACATATTAATAGGAACATTACTCATAGTCTCTGGGAAAATTACACACATGAAAACAAAAGATTGTGTTACAGCACTTTAACTGACTGGGAAAAACCTAGATTGTGTCATTGCTGGGCTGCTGTTTTCAATTTGAAAATGGTATGCTAGAATAACACTTAAAATATAAATCTTCACTAAATACTGTAAAATACCCCTCTTCATCAATGTTAAAAACAACTAGATCCATTCATGGTAAATGACCTGAATGAAGACAAAGTTCTTTATAAGTTAGTATCAAATAAACTATGCCAAAAAGATCATTTCAGAAAAATCGTGTCTATTTCCATCCATTAGTCAATAATCAGATAAGAGTAAATCGGAAACAAAACATACACCAAACAGATTAGAACCCTAAAGCCTTCTTTAAAACATTTTAGGATTTAACATCTAATTTCACATCACCCATCTAATAAATATTGAAAATAACTATAGTCAAATGACAGTTATAGGTAATTTTAATCATTAATCCTCCAGTTACGTCTAAATCTGAGATTATACGCGTGTCTGGGTCGAGCTTTAGCCCTCCGCTTTAAATCAACAAAGACAAACAGCTTCTAACGTTACCACACATCGTTATATGACTATTACCGGTAACAACGATTTAATACACAAGCAAATAGTTGTGAGAAAACTATAGCGCTTTCCTCGCAAATTTTAAAGCTAATTCTAATATGTAAATAGATCGATAAATCTTCGAACCGTTTTAAAATCTGGACGCTGAGGGTGAGCTTCTACTCCCGGCCGGCGGTTGCTTGCGGAAGCGACGAACGGTCAGTAGCTCTTGCCTTTCCAGTATACCAAAAAAAAGTAGTTTAAAAACAACCATCCAGCGGCGACTTGAGCGTATAAAGTTTTTATATTGTGTAAAAACACGGAGACAGTAAGATAAAGTAGTCTTACTTGCAGTTTACAGGGCTAGCCGTTTTGTTTTAGTCCAACGGTGGAGCTCCGTCGCCTCTCTTATGTCCGATACAATAAACCGTTGTCGAGCACGCGCAGAGCGCGAGCATTCAGAGGGGGGAAGGGATAATGTGCACGAGCTCGAGCCACGCCTGCGCGAGCACGTTGACTGGAGTTTACTTGGCGGTGGATGAATGAGTCATTATGATGAACGGACAACCCTGAACACTATAACAAGGCAGTTTTGTGTTATATATTTAGTTAAAGTGAAAAACTTCTAACTAACTATTCCAGCCAAAACCGTCCCGTAATAATAAAGACAAGGTTGGATAATGCTTTTTGGAAAATGAAATCAAGATGTAACACATGAAAGTGAATTATATCTTTAAGAGCTAAACGGAAGAGTTAAACGGAAGACAATCAAATTTCATAGAGGGGTTTCTCTCGGGCTTGCTCAGCTCGTTTGAGAGAACGAGCAAAGGATACAATTTTGTGTTTGTTGCGCCATCTATCGCCGTCTGAGCTGCAGTACACTGCCAATAACAATCCACTTATTAAATGTGTAAGCCACAGTGACAAACCCCATTATTTACTATTATATTGTTTCAACATTTTATAATTAAATTTTTTTTTTGTGAAACGCAAAAACAATAAGTGAAACGCAAAAACAATAAAACACTTAAATAATAAATGATGCATTAAATTGCTTATTTTTTTATTTATTTTAAAGGGATTATTCCCCCCAAAAATTTCCATTCATCACTTACCCTTTACACCTTAATGAGTTTCTTTTTCTGTTGAAAACAAAAGAAGCTATTTTGAAGAAAGCTGGAAATCTTTAACCATTGACTTCCAAAGTGTTTTGTTTGTGGAAGTCAAGTTACGGGTTTTCAGCTTTCTTCAAAACATCTTATTTAGTGTTCAACAGAAGAATGGTTTGAAACCACTTTAGGATGAGTACATTTAAAACTTCAGACAATAAATCAGTTTGCACAAAAAACAGTCCTGTTTAAAGTGTAAATTCACCATAGTTAAAGACCAGAAAGGTAGAGGAGGGGTACCAAAAATGATCCTCAAATCAGACCATATGCCCTCAGTGGCTCAATCTGTATATTATCAAGCCAAGAGAATCCTTTTGTGCACACACAAAACAAAAAACAACTTTATAGTTTCTGTTCCTCAGTGTCAGTATAGGGTGCGTGTTTTCCCCCACTGCCTGCCCATCCTAGATGTCAACAGCGTTATACTGACACCGAGAAGAAACTAAATAAAGCTGTTATTTTTGTTTTGTGTGTGCCCAAAAAGATTCTCGTGTCATAGTAATATAATTCACTGAAGGCATATGGGCTGTTTGGGGATGTTTTCTGTTATCTTTCTGAACTTAAAATTGCAGTCCAAATTCTAAATATCGGAGAGGGTTTTTTCACCTGGCACCCCTGATGATGACACCAACAGGAGTGAGACCTAAAATGTAAGCTGCTCGGGTAATGTATATGTTTGTAATATTTATATTATCTTCCAACTAAAAACACCTTGTTGATCTTTATATCTATGAATCAGCGTCTCATTTTAAAGCCTGCTACTGTCCTCCAGAGGATTGCATTTTCAGCCGAGTCAGCATATATTGAGGTAATCTTCATGACATTCAGTGTTCTTCCACGTCAACCTGGAGTGGCAAAATATAGATGGGCAAATTGACAGAGGGTTGAGGTACATAGACTAAGAAAAAACAGACATACCTAAAAACAATGCACATTTTTTAAGGTGAATAATGACTTGGATGGATCATGAGAAAATAAATATGAAAATAATTTGATGCTGGAATAAAGTAGCTAGTATTGGCAAGCAATAGCTAAATATCGGTATTGGCCAAACAGAACTTACACATGTGCATCCATAATATACTGTAGCATTGACCAATTGTTTAAAATAAATCAGGTCCATGGGGACACATATGATTTCATTTAATCTTTATTACAGATGGAGAGAGATCAGGGTGAAATTGGAGTCAGAGAATGAGACTGTGAAAGAAGCATGACACCTATGAACCATAATAAAACAGACCGACAATTACTAATAAAATCCCCAAAGAAAAATAAGGGTTAAAATGTATTAGTGAAAAATGCATCAACCCTATTCAAAAACCACACATAACCAGGTTTCTCCAGAGAAACAGCTGAGCTTGTCAGAATCTGCATTAAATGAAACTCATGCCACATTGTGTAGACAATCTGTGTTTTATAAAAACAGGTCCATTATGCAAGCTCATAATTTAGAGTGCAACACTCTCATCAAAGCCAACACTTAAAGACAGATCATTAAAGTACAGATGAGGAAAAAGATACAACAGGAGACAGAATCAGATTCAGTATTGCTAATATCATTTCAAACTATTCTGAACAAAAATATCTTTGAAATGACTGTATCCAACTCTCTCAATTAAGGCTCCACCAATCGAATAGTGACAGAAAACAGGAAATCATAGGGCCACTTTCTGATCAACGAGAGCTGAACCTTAAATTACAGAACACGCGTTCCTTGAAAAGTCCTAAAATCTGCAAAAACATTCTCCACCTTTAGCAACGTGGCCCTTGACGTTTCAGACATTCATATGATGCCATCACATCAAAAAGCAGGAAGAAGTCCCATCTTCAATAAATACCAGGAATCTTGCCTTTTTTCTGATTTGAGGCCAAAAAAAATTCAACCCATAAACATTTTGTAAAGTCAGACACACATTTAAAAACCGAGTGTTAATCCCATCAACCATCAGAGAGCGTTTATTCAGAAAAACACATCCTGGAAACCTTACACAAGAGGCCAGAGGGAGAGAAGATATTGTTTTTACAAAGCAGAAGTACTGGAGCACTGCAGATGCTAAGTTTCAGGCTAATCCAGGGTTTTTTTATACAGCTGAAAAACTGAGTGTGGATGTCCGTTTAATTTCTCATTTGGGTGTTCATATAGTGGCAACTTCTCATTTGTGTGTGTAAAGCCTTACCAAAATAATTATGTGTGAGAGTGTGTGTGTGTGTGTGTGTTGTCCCCAGTAGAATTTGTGATAGTAAGGGTAAACTGAACTCTGCAGGACAAATAAAAAAAAATTGTGTGTGTGTGTGTGTGTGTGTGTGTTAGGAATGGGTTGGAGCATCTTCAAAACTTATGATGCTGGACTCCTGTTGTCCCGTAGGGTTTTGTGTGGTGCTAGGTGCTGGCTGTGATGTTTCTCGACTTGAAAGGAGAGGAGTGTCCGTTCGCACTTCCTCATCTTCATCATCCTCCTCATCTTCCATGCTGGGCCAAGCCGACTGGTCTTCAACACGCTTCAAACGCTCATTCAGAGCTTTCAATGCCAGTTGTCTGTGGAAAAATAGAAGACAAATATTAGATGCAGCTATGAAGGTGAAGATAAATATTGGTACAACAATACTGAGAACAATAGGAACTGAACTGTGTACTTTATGACCTCAATGCATGCATGTGTGATAGTCCCATGCTGAGAACTGATCCATATTAGAGAGTGCATTTAATTGTATCAAATAAGTTATGATATAACATAACTTTAATATGAACATTGAATCATAGTTGAAGCATTAAACTTATCAAAACTGTGAATAAATAAAAATACATTCATATAACAAAATAAAAAACAAATGACAAAGTAGGGAATTAACTTTAAAAAAATGAAAATCAAGATAACAAAACTATATATATATATATATATATAAACTTTAACAGTATACAAATAATCCCAAAACAATGTTGATCTTAAACATACATATTTAATGTGTACATTATTGTGTTATCATACCTGGATTATCAAACTAGGATTTAAAATATATTAATTTAAGCAATTTTTGTAATACTTCAGAAAATTTATAAAAGCACATAAATGTAATGCCTACATGCACTTGTTGCAGTTAAAAGGTATATTGATTTTAGTTTTTATTTTAAATAGAAAAAACTATATACTATAGATCAGTGGTTCTCAAACTGTGGTACGTGTACCACTAGTGGTACGTGGGCTTTCTTCTAGTGGTACGCAGAGGAATGAAATATGTCATGTACATGCTACATATATTTCAAAATTTATCAAAAATGATGTATTTAATATGCCATATATGACTTATAGCCTATATTTCTGAGGTAATCTGCCACGTTTTTTTAGCTGTGCAGAGTTGTAGCTGCTTTACTGGGCCTACCACGCTACTGTATTTCAATACTGCTCATTTTGGTGGTACTTGGAGAGAATTTTTTTTCTGAGGTGGTACTTTATGACAAAAGTTTGAGAACCACTGCTATAGATAATATTAATATAACACTGACTTAATCTTTAAAATTAAAAAGCATCTATTTTTACACTGAATTCAATTCATGTTTATTTATATAGCGCTTTTACAATGTAGATCGTGTAAAAGCAGTTTAGCATAGAAGTTCTAGTAAGTTCTCAAAACTCAGAGCTTCTGGTAGTACTTAAAATAACAAAGTCTACCAAAGGAAGTCGAGCCTTCTCATTTATGGCTTCTAAACTCTGGAATATCCTTTCTGATAATGTCTGAGGCTCAGACACACTCAGTTCAAAACTAGATTAAAGACTTATGTTTTTAGTAAAGCACAGTTGCGTGGCAACCGGGGGGGATATGTCCTCTGCTTTTTTAGAGACAGACCATTTAGAAAAAGGTGATTAAGAATGTAAACCTTTGGATTTCATACAGCTGTCCCCCCACTTTTAAAATGTCCACTACATCCCTGGTAAAGCATACACACGATGCATCACATAACGGTATGATGCACGAGTGTGCTCCACGCAGGTGAGTGGGCTTCACAACCACCTGTAGGACACACTCCTCCTATCTTGATGCATCAACATTTTGTTAGAAATACTCATATTCTTTACATGTTTGTTTCTGTGTTTGTTTGTACAACTACTATTTTCATTTATAACACTTCACATCAAACATTATAATATGAAACTTAAATTTATTCAAAAGGTGGATTTCAGGTTTTATTGTTTAAATATTACAGTTGTATAAAGTAGGACTGGGCGATTAATAAAAAAGTAATCGAAGTCGACATTCAAAACCTATAATAGAGTTCATTTTTAGACGTCAATTTTTTAAAATTACTTTCCCTGCCGCGTGTAGAGTCACATGACTTCGCTCTGTTAAGGTTAATTTATCCATCTGCGTCGAACGCACAGCTATGGTCCAGTGTGGTGAGAAATCAAGTCCCCCCTACAACAGAGTCCATTTACAACCCCACTGGATCGTCTGCGTTGAATTTAACAAGACACGCATAGTTAAATAATTTGAATTGTTTGTAAACATAAATAATCATAGATAGTAGATAGTGCGTGTTTACTTCAATTATTATAAAATCAAGTAATGCACCCTTAATTCAGAAATCTCTCACTTGTAATATGTGAGCATATTTACTGTACAAAACCTGTCAGTGAACTATGAGGGGAAAAAATTAAATAAATAAAATAATTGTTCATTAATCGTAATCGAGTTTAATGTTTGATTTTAGGCCAAATCGCTCAGCCCTAGTATAAAATAAAAATTACTGAAATGATATCTGATATCAGCAGCATTTTTTTATAATTTACATTATAATGTTGTCATGCCTAAAACCACTTGTAGAACTTAAAATGATTGATTGTAGCTTATTTACTCAAATTGTTTCGATTTTTTTCTCTCTTTTGTTTTGAAAAAAAGTAAATTAAAATTTCATGTCTTGCCATGCTTTTAGCTTATTGTTACAACTCATTTTAAAGTACCTCCGTCTTTCTGCATCTTGTGGGTCTGTGCCTGGCAGGCTGATGGTGATGGAGGAAGGAGCCCCAACATCGTATCGCTTCACCATCTTACGACAAATTTTAATCTTCACCAGGGCGGCGTGCACAAGTCCGGCTGCAAAGCCAACAGCCGGCTGGAGGGCCTCTGGGAAGAAAGAGGCGAAGGCAAAGTGGTCCGACATGTCTCCACGCCCCCTAGAGTGCCTCTGGTAGAAGCGCAGGTAAACCCACCCGGATAGTGCGCCGTACCCGCATGCTGCTAGTGGAGCTGAAGTGTCCAGCAACCCCGCTAGCCGCAGGACAGCTATGGCAAGCAAAGCTAGCGCCGGGGCAGCTTTTAATCGTACTTGAGGAACTCGAAGCACTGTAGTGTCACCTGCAGTCTGCTTTAGTGCTACAAGAACACCACCCAGAAAGGCAGGTGCGCCATACACCCGCACGGCAAACAGATAGTCCAGGTCAAAGGTTGCAGCATAGGTGAAAAGGTATGAGAGTCCTGACAGGAGACCGGCTGCTACATTTACTACAGCAAAGAAGATCAGCAGCTCCAAAGCTCCCCATAATGGCTCCAAAAGCCGCCCGGCGACCATCACAGTAGCAATGTTCACAGCCATCCCAAAAACATGCTGCTCTACCACTGCATGGGTCAGAAGTGTCCATATCCAGAAGTTTGGAGGAAAAAGGAAGCCCGGTGTGACACCAAGAAGGTAAGGGGTGTTAGCAGCCCAGGACAACAGGTAGAGGAGGATCACTGTAGCACATATCGATTTGACCACCACACTCGTGCTCGCCAAAGCACTCAGAAAGTGCTGCCGTGCCACTGGCAGGTAACGGTTCATCCTGACCAATTCGAGTCCTCAGTTGTTTACGCTCCAGAAATGGTGACCCTACGAAATCAGCAGTTTGTGTCAAACATGAGGGACACAACCAGAAGATGAAAGCCAGACATCAACAAGAAAGCAGAATGACTTCATCTACAGCGGTTTTGCAGCTTTGGGATGAGGCTTGTGGAGAGAAAATGACTATATTACCTCACACTGGTCTTACAGGTGATTGCAACACTTGTGGTGAGATCGAGTAGACTGTAGTTTTCCTCATACAATGAAGAGCTGGTGCTTCCAATAATGTCGTTTTCTACGAAATACTACATACAATCTAATGTTTACAAAATACTTTTGAAGATTCTCACAATAACTTTCTTAATGAGTAAGTAGTTGACCTTGGTGACAAAATATTAACTATTTACATGCTCGTGTTTGCTGTTTGCTAGTTGTTAGCAAAAAAATGTAAAACAAAATTCATTACTTTCAAAAAGGGTCACCTGAGCTACTCTAACTTACCTGCTTATCAGCACTGTCTGCTAACACTCCATAAACCTCACCCCTCGATCGGTTTTAATAAATCTTCAAGTCAGTTTCACTGTCTTTTGTCTTATTAATGTCTTTTGGTTTTAATTTAAGCACTTGCCGTTTGTTTTACGGGTAAAACACGCGAAGGAAGGCGAGCTTTGAGCAGCTTTCTCTCCCGTGGCATGTCCTCTCAGGTCGGCCAGGAGTCGCAGTTCAGTCCGGGGATTTCCTCTAACAACAGGCCTTCGGGTTGAGGGTATAAAGCCAGTAAAGGGGAATATGAAACGTCCGTCCCGGTTGCTCTTTTTATTGTACTATCGTCGACATTTCGTCTGAGTTAAGCTTATATCTTGTTGTTTGAGAGTGTGGCGTTCCCAGCTAACAGCCACAAAGCACAAACATCAGATTTGCAAACGTCATCCGTCCAGCGTTGCGACTGGGCGTGTCGTTTACTGCACCGTCACGCTAAGATAACTGGGAAATGTAGTCTTTTTCCCCATCAACAGTCGATTCTTTTAAAACAGTTTCATGCATTATTTACATTTTGTTTAAAGCTAGTCTGTTTATATTTTTCAATCTTAGGGTGCCAGTAGTGGCTAAAATGACTAGATAAAATGTCACCTTGGCCTGAGTGTGAGTAAATCTAGCAAATCTTTCATTTTGGGCTAAACTATCTATAATCCAGGACTTTAATGTGAGAGCTTCCCCACACATGAAAGCTTGCTAGTCAAATTTAATTTAATTTAATTTAATTTAATTCATTTCATTTCATCTCATTAATTTTCTTGTCGGCTTAGTCCCTTTATTAATCCGGGGTCGCCACAGCAGAATAAACTGCCAACTTATCCAGCAAGTTTTTACGCAGCGGATATACCCTTCCAGCCGCAACCCATCTCTGGGAAATCATTTCATTACATTTAATTAATTTAATTCACCTTGTTTAGTGCTTTTACAATGTTGTGTCAAAGCAGCTTCACATAGAAGATTATATTAAATTGAAACAGTGTCAGTTAAGTTTTTAGTGTTGAAGTTCAGTTTCAGTTCAGTGTGGTTTAATATTCACTGCTGAGAGTTCAAACACTGAAGAGCAAATCCATTGATGCGCAGCTCTACGGTCCCGCATCATGCAAGCCAGTGGCGACAGCGGCGAGGAAAAAACTTCACCCATTGGCGAAAGTGAATAATTAAAAACCTTGAAGGAAACCAGGCACTATTGACTATTGACAGATTGACATTTTTTGAGAATAACAGTTGATCAAATCATTATTAAACAGGTAAGTGACTTCCTAAGTCGATCTCTCTTTTGTATGCTGCTGTATTTATGCCAGAGATGCCCAAACTAGGGCCTGCAGGCCAAAGTTGGCCAATGGTAATTTTTGATTTGGCCCACCATTAAATCTGAGAAGAGAGTGATGGGAAGAGATCATAATTTCTAGCATAACTTTTTTTTGATTGTTTTATTGCTGAGCTACAAAAGCTAAAATTAAATGTTTAAATTCAATGTTGTACATAAATCTGATTTTCAAAAATGTCCATACTTTCACTTTGGACCGAGAACAATGCAGAATACATCAGATCAAGACAAAAATAGGTGTAGCTTGACTCGTTTATTCGGCATTAAACTCCATTCTGTTAAAAATGGGATTTATTTTTGTTTTTACTGTTAAAAATCATGATGAAGTTTAAAAATATATACTGCATTCGTCAATATAAAGCAACATTTTCTAGTTATTTAAAAAATACATTAATTACCCTTGGCACTTTTAATGTAATGCAGTTACATTTGTTTACAGGATACTTACCTTCAGCCCACAGCCCTCAATCCAGTTTGGTTTTAAGCTCTTTAAGAACAAGTTTGGGCACCCCTGATTTATACCATAGTAATTGTAGTGTATCGAGTGTGAGATGCGACTCACATATCAGGAAAGTATGTATTTTGTGTTGGCCAGTCTTTATATAACCCTGAGTTGACCATCTGTTTGTTTATAATGCATCGCCTGTTTTTGTTACTGCAGACTAGTACAGTAAACAGAAAGGTAGTGTTTGTGCTGCTTTGTCTTTTTTGTGGTTATTTATTGTGATCTCCAGATTGCAACAGAGAAATACTGGAAAATCTGTCTAGACAGATGGCATTTCTTGTCGTTCAGCTTTATAATACTATAATGTGAGGAAAATCACCTGTTTTATAATCACTTCAGACATTACGCTAGAGAATCATTTAAACACTTGCTGTAAAGTGATTTGTATGAAGTAGCAATGGTTTCTCCTGTTCTGACGTCTGCATTCTGATGCAGCAGATGTTGATGAATGATGAAAGAAAGTAGTTTCTCAAACAAAAGGATTTTTAGACTCTCTGTGTTTGATTTTCTTTTTTATATATGCCATCAAACTGTTGTATAAACACAATTTCACACTTGTAACAGTGTGATATGGCTGTAAATCTTCACTGGTGGGACATTCCCACTAGCGCCAATAATTCACACGATAAACTAAAGTCTGTCTCTGAAATCACTTCCTTCTAGGAAAAAGGGAAAAAGAAAACTAGAAATGACAGAAATAGTATGACAAAAGAAGAATGTCCCAATTCACAGGCTAATTCATGCTGCACAAAGTCTTGGGAAAAGATCCTGTGCATTAACCACTAGAGAAAGTAGTGCATTCAGTTGCAAATGAAATGTTGAATGTTGGACTCCAATGCACTCAAATGTCGAAGCCATGATATACTGGAGGTGGCAGTTTTCTTACATGAGAAAAGCCTAATCAATGGTAGACTGTCCGATCATAGTATATATTTGAAGAACAAAATTACCATCTAATTTTAATAACAATCTAGTTATAGGCCTAAATAGCACCTGGGGCATCCAGCATACGTGAAGGAGATGTTGGAATGCAATTCAATAAAGTAAATTATAGTAAAAGTAAAACATCAATGATTATCAGAAGGTAAGGTGAAGGAAACACAAACTCTTTTTAGAAAAAAAACCTCTTGTAAACTACACAAGTAACACCGAAAGCCCTTCAGAATTAAAAACACATTAATTATATACAAATAGGAACACTTTTTATACTACAAATATTGTATTTTGCACTTGTGTAAAAACATTCTAGTTTGTTTTAACGAGCTAAATGCATTGTCTTATGTGGTCCACTAGATGGCAGACAAAACAAATCCTAAACATCTCGCATTCCGTGAGGGTTTGAAGCTGTGCTGCTATACAGAGGCTGTGACCTCAGCGGTGTTCAACACCATGTTCAAAACACCCTGAGCTGCTCCTTCACCTCCTCTCACCTGTGCATCTGGGGCCTGTGAACCTGCTGGGAAGCTGACAGGTGTTATCTGCCTTACAAAGCATGCTGCAATATTTAAGCTAGCAAGGATAAAATGTTCTCTCACTCTCCTACAAAGATTTAGCTCTTTGAGAAATACAGTAACGTGTTCATTTCAGAAATTATGCACATTTATCTACACTGAAAAAATATTTGTTGAGTCAATTTTGTTTTTCACAGGCTATTTTATTTATTTATTTGATTGTCTTCAGAAACAGTTTTTGTTGTGCTGGTTGAAAGTCTCTTCACATTCCAATAGTACTGATTAAAGTAAATGATCTAAATGTATTTAAATGTATTTTTATATTCTGGGTAAGGCATAAAACTGAAAAAAAAATCATTTAATTAAATATTGTAAAGCTGATAATTTCCAAAATTGCCTGCCGATGCACGTTCACGCGTGCTGCGGTCACATGGACACGAGTCACAGTAGTAAAATCGAGTGCTTGATCAAAACTTTTTAAAATCCTGAATCAATATTGGAGCAACTTTTGCATGCTGGAGGAAGGATGACACCATGGCTGAAGTATTTCTTTTAGACAGGCAATATACTGCAATGTTTTAAAACTATTTTAGTCACACAAAGCTGATGTAGATTGTGTTGTTTTATAAATGGGTTATATGCACAGAAGTGTTGTTCAGCCACTGAAATATTCGAGTGAAAGATTGATATGACTATTTTCAATTTCATAATGGACCAGTAACACAGAAAATGTAGATTTTTATTTAGTTTAACAACAAAACATCAGTAAATAGCACTATTCTGCCTAGCCTGCTTTACTGAACTGAAATTGTTTTTATATTCACATTGGCTCATTTTTTAACAATGACAACCTGTGACGCGCTCCTATGTTTACCATGTTACTCGAATATTCACTCTGAAATAACATGGAAGTATGGCTTAGTAATAAGTGAAACTCCTGCACACCGCCAACGACTAACGCCGCAGGCCAACCACTAAGCATACAGTAGTTGTTTTAGGGCAAAGCACACAAAAGAGTGAGACCAGCGATCCTTGCATGCATGAAATAAAGCATATTACAACAAGTTCTGCTTGCTAACTACATAACTAAAAACATGCTACATTTAATAGAGTTGTTCTTTGGGAATTGTAGTATTATAAAGTATTATAAAGTTTTCTAACTGGCCAATGAGATGAATTAGTGGGTCTCTGTCATCTTTAACGTGTGCGTTCAGGATTTCAGGAGACGTGGCTTTGAAAGGCATGGAGGGATTGCATTTGAAAGATATTATGCTAATCGGTTAGCATTTAGGCAGATCACCTGCACCTTTAACTTATTTGAAAAAGTCTATGACTTTCCATTTTATTCGTTTTTCAGACTTTAGGTTTTAGACTGAGTTACAAGTCCCCCATTAAATCTTTTAGGATTTTTATGTCAGTTTGCTTCATTTGACAGGATTCCCAGTATTGAATTTCTGAAATTTTATATATTTTTGTCCAAGTCATGTAATATTAGTAATGTTTTTAATTGTACCTCACTTTTATCAAAATTTCTAATTATTCAATAATATGTACAAATACGCACACATTTACACATCTCAAATCTTGATTTACAAAGTAAACACTGAGAGAAACAAAGACAGAAAGGGGTTACCCCTGAATCATATACAGTTGAAGTCAGAATTATTAGCCCCCCTTTGAATTTTCTTTTTCTTTTTTAACTATTTCCCAAACAATGTTTAAAAGAGCAAGGGCATTTCTGGAGAAAGTATTATTTATTTTATTTCGGCTGGAATAAAAGCAGTTTTAATTTTTTCATTTTAAAATATATTTTAGTTCTGAATACAACGAATGTTGCCTTCTTCAAATATGGATAAATTTGCATAGTGATAATGTCACATGACAAGTCCAAAGAAAGACATGCTGTGTAATTTTTTGATAACCCACACTTTATGAACACTTTCTATATGAGAGTATAAAGTTATTTAATATTAAACAATGCAGATGTGGAAGGATTTTCCCTGCTGGCCAAGGGATATCTGTGCCAATTAAAATGAATTTGTGCACCATTTGCTCGCAGAAATGCAAAATTCTGGAGGTACACAACAGCTGCTAGTTTTTATCCATCAAGTTATGTAGATTTAGCTTTTATACACTAAAAT